CCTTGTGGGACCAGTGGGTCCTGGTAGACGCTTTGCTTCACAGTGCTCACCCACAGCAGACTTGAACCTCTAGAGCCTCTAGTGCACACAGCTAAAGCCCCCCAAATCTGTGTCTTATAGCGGTGCCTTTACAGTTCAAGATATATCTTTTTGTTTCATTCTTATCACTCAATCTGTTCTTTTTCAATTGAAATCAGTGTTTTGGTGCTTGAAGAAATTAATAAACTTGCTTTATGGCATCTGAGGGGAAAAAAAGTGGAGCTTAAAGAGATCCATTAAAGAAACAAATCACAACCCCTGAGCTTGAAACCCCTAGTCATTAATGTGATGTAATTGACTTGGCTTCCAGGCTTTATTCAGATGCTTCCATACTGGAAGGGATGATTGGATTGATCCGTTGAGGCCCCCATGGCAAAATAACAACAGCTGATTACAATTTTGAAAATGAAAAGAGGGAGATTTGTGCAACACGATGATGCACTGGAGCTTTAAAGTCTCTGCGGATGAGCTGAGGGAGCCTCGTGCAACACTTGATGCTGTTCCAAGAGTACGGGGCTTTTCAATGCCTTGGCCCGGTGGCCTGAGTTCTTTTTTTTTTACCTTGTTGTAAATGAAGCCAAGCATGTGTGTTTGAACAGCCAGTGTCTCACCTGAAGTTGGTGGAAAACATACACAAGGTCAGTAATCTATTATGGATGAGCTGTCGCGGCCGGTGGAGGACAGTGTGGTCACCTTGTTGGACCTCCACGCTAAAGGGGAAACTTTGAACCCGACTTGAGGGAAAACTCCAAACCTCTGAACAGTGCACTTCTAATAGAGTACAACTGTTGAAAATGACTCTTCTCGGTTTAAACTGGCTTCAATGCAGCACCTAAAAAGGACCATCTAACACTAATTGTAGTCCTCAGCGGAGGTTATGACCTGGCTGCAGGACTAGATCCTTTCCTGGCCTCGGACCCACGACTCTGATGCAGCTCGTTGAACACGATTCACCTACAGGATTAGGCCCATGAGAAGTCTGGCTTGTCTTTGAGACTAGAACAGGTTGGATTCCCAACTCATCCATTAGGCATAAGCAGTCTCGTGGTGGGCACGGTGGCCAGGTGATGAACCGCAGCAGATTTAACGTTCTGGCTCAGATGACTAGCTACCTTTGGGTTGCTGAATTTAGAAGTTTGCACTGCATACGGTGTTGCCATTTAAAGTTGGTGTTAAGATATTTCAACTGGTTTTCTGATCTGATCTATGTCTATCTGAACATTTCTTGTATGTGTAATACGATACTTAATTATAATTAATTATATTAATTATTATTATATTAATTATTATTATATTAATTAATTAATTATAATAATTATAAATGAATGCCTTCTATACCAGTAAACCAGATCATTAGCATAAAAAGATTTCCATACTGTTGCACTACTTGCTTTATATCACATGATTGTTTATATCACTGCAACCGCATCTGTGTCATGCTAATCCAGATGAAACCATACCGGTTCACCAGAAACACCTCGAGCACCGACTCTAGCAGGAGGTGGAGGAGGAGGAAACATTTATTAGCCAAAATATGTCAAACATACAAGGAATTTGTCTTGGCGGTTAGTGCGCGACAGTAGACAGACAAGACAACAGTGCACAAGTAATAAAATAAAGTGGAATGAAATGCTAATGCAATGGGTTAGTAGAATAAGGCTAAGGCTATGGGTTAGTATAAAACAAGGGAATAAAGTTAAAAAAATTTAAATATTAAAAAGTTAAAAAGAAAAATATTAAGCATAAAGTGCACTAACGAACAAGTAACAGACAAGAGACAAAGTGACAAGTGACAAAGAGATGAATTGCAGTTAAAGTGGCATGTGCAGTATGAGGGGGAGTGACCGGTGGAGTGTTATAGTCAGGCAGTGGGGGACCGGGCTCTGTTGATGAGCCCGACTGCCGACGGGAAGAAACTGTTCGTGTGGCGGGAGGTCTTAGTCCTGATGGACCTCAGCCTCCTCCCAGATGGAAGGGGCACAAACAGTTTTTGTCCGGGGTGGGAGGGGTCGGCCGCGATCTTTTTAGCTCGCTTCAGAGACCTGGAAGCGAACAAGTCCTGCAGGGACGGCAGATTGCAGCCGATCACCCTCTCTGCAGAGCGGATGACCCGCTGAAGCTTGCCCTTGTCCTTGGCTATGGCTGCAGCGTACCAGACGGTGATGGAGGAGCAGAGGATGGACTCCATGATGGCCGTGTAGAAGTGGACCATCATCGTCTTTGGCAGGTTGAATTTCTTAAGCTGCCTCAGGAAGAACAACCTCCGCTGAGCCTTCTTGGTGATGGAGCTGATGTTCAGCTCCCACTTGAGGTCCTGGGTGATGATGGAGCCCAGGAAACGGAAGGAATCCACAATAGTGACGGGGGAGTCACACAGGGTGATGGGGGAGGGTGGGGCTCTGTTCCGCCGGAAATCCACAACCATCTCCACTGTCTTTAGAGCGTTGAGCTCCAGGTTGTTCTGACTGCACCACGACACCAGATGGTCAGACTCCCACCTGTAGGCGGACTCGTCCCCACCAGAGATTAGTCCAATGAGGGTGGTGTCATCCGCAAACTTCAGGAGCTTGACGGACTGGTGGCTGGAGGTGCAGCTGTTGGTGTACAGGGAGAAGAGCAGAGGGGAAAGAACGCAGCCTTGGGGGGAACCGGTGCTGATGGTCCGAGAGGCTGAGACGTGTTTCCCCAGCTTCACGTGCTGCTTCCTGTCAGACAGGAAGTCTGTGATCCACTTGCAGGTGGAGTCGGGCACGTGCAGCTGGGAGAGTTTGTCCTGCAGCAGAGACGGGATGATGGTGTTGAAAGCAGAGCTGAAGTCCACAAACAGGATGCTGGCGTAGGTTCCTGGGGAGTCCAGATGCTGGAGGATGTAGTGGAGGGCCATGTTGACAGCATCGTCCACAGACCTGTTGGCTCTGTAGGCGAAGTGCAGGGGGTCCAGGAGGGGGTCGGTGAGGGACTTCAGGTGGGTCAGGACTAGCCGTTCAAAAGACTTCATGACTACAGAGGTCAGGGCGACGGGCCTGTAGTCATTGAGTCCTGTGATCCTGGGCTTCTTGGGGACAGGGATGATGGTGGAGGCCTTGAAGCAGGCTGGTACGTGGCATGTCTCCAGGGAGGTGTTGAAGATGTCAGTGAACACCGGAGACAGCTGGTCAGCACAATGCTTCAGGGAGTGAGGTGAAACGGAGTCCGGACCGGCTGCCTTGCGGGGATTTAGCAAGGAGCAAGAGAACCAAGTCCAGATTTCTGGGTCTCAGCATGTCCCTCTCCACAATCACTACCATATAATGGGCATATAGGATACATATTAAATACTGATGTTACAGCAATTATTATGATCGGCACAATATTAACAGTGCACCCAGACAAGGTGAACTAAACCTGAATAACTTTCCTCCCGTGTCCCCCCCAGGATTATTTGCTAGAAATTACCCCCCCCCCCCCCCCCATTTTATTGTTTGTTTTTGTATCCAGAGTTGAACAAATGACACAGCTTTGGATTTATAGGTCGGAAGCCTCCAGCAGGGAGGGACACTCTGGAACACACTTCCATCTGTTGTCACAGGGCTGCTCTCATCTGCATGCTAATTCTTCTATGCCCACACCATCATGCAAGACACCACCCATGGCAACGCCATTCTCGGGTTGAGAAAAGTGTGGAGCAGGGAGCGCAGAGACACCAACCCCGAGGTGAACACAGATAGAGAGGAGCGCGAATCAAAGAGGTGGGAAGCATGAGGTTGTTTTTGCAGAAAAAGCCGTTGTGAATGTTGTTCATGTGCGGTCGGCACGTCATCTTGATACGCGGCAAGGTGACCGACGTTGAAGTCCAGGCATGTGGGGGGACGAGGCAGCCCGGCTCCCAGCCTCCCATTGGCTGCCGGTAAAAGTCTAGCCGAGCTGACTAATCATTTGCATGTGTGGCTATAATATGCTTTCAACGTCTGAATAACACGAGTCATCCATCAAAGCGCTGTTGTAAAGTCATTGGACTGGGGGAGAAAAAGGGCACTGGGAGTAGGTGTGGCATATCTAAGATCTAATAAATATACATTTCCTCAGGCAAGAGAGGGGAGAGCTGCGAGATCCAAGGATTCATTTCCTCCTCCGCCCAAACCGGCAGATAAGGTTTGATTCGGTGCATGCCTGGGAAAATCTGCATTCTGCGGCTGAAACTAACAACTTTAGAAATGTGTGTTACAAAGAGAGAGACTTATTTGATTTCTGACATTCTTTGGCGTGTCCGTTCTAAGAGTAGAGTGGCGGTTGAAACTGAGACCGCTATGAGACATGTGAGGCAAACGTTTTGTGAATAAACTTGTCTGTGTTTTGGCCCTGTTGGGCATCAGTTTTCCCCCTGCTGCATATTTCGGTACGTGCCTTAGGCTGAACTTGTCTTGTTTCCCATTTTTTGATGGGAGACATTCTGGGAATTACTAACCACCCTGTAGAGGAAGAGGAACATGGTCGGAGTATGCTGTAACGCTGTAATAACTTATTATATTAAAATATATAAATTATATATAAATATTAGTGTTGTGCTCTGTATGTGTAGGCTACAGTAACGCTAACGACGAGAGAACTGACGCGTTTGTACTCAGCTCTTGCGTCGGTTTAAAGCTTTTGCAATCCTTTTAAAATCACCAGTCCAGTATGGGACCTTGTTTTCAAAGGGATATGCTGCAGGATTCATAAATTAAATCATTGTGGCGTGACATCGTTAGGATTTATCTGTAACCTAAAACTTTGGTTTTAGGTTACAGATAAAGGAACACACACAGTATATATGTGTATGTGTGTGTGTATATATATATATATATATATATATATATATATATATACACACACACACACACACACACACACACACACACACACATTTCGGCATTAAAAGAAGAAGATATATTGATATTCAAATTGAAATTTTTTTTTTCTATTTTATTTGCTTTTGGTCTTACCATGACAGAGATGTGCAGGATGCGCAGCTCTTCTTTGTTGGAGTTGTTGGCCGGGTCCCCGGTGGGCTCTGGGAGGCTCAGGCTGCCGTCCTGGTGGTGGATGTGGAAGAGCAAGGTGCCGTTCTCTAGCCACTGCTGCCTCCAGCGCACCAGAGGGATGTCCTCAGAATTCCCAGAGATCTCTGCGGGGGACAACATGCGGAACCAAGCAGACTGTGTGAGAGGCCTTTTTCTACGGAGGCACAACCTTTGCTCATTATAAATTAGCTGACGTGATGAAAGAAAGTTAACCAGAAAACAACAGACATGGCAACATGGCGATTGTTAAATGTCTATAGTTGTGGTTCAACATTTGGATGTGATACAACACAGTTTGTGCTCAGAATAAACAATATATTGATATTTGCTAGGGGTGTAACGATTAATTCACTGAATCGATGAATTGATTTATATTCCTGCGATCCAACTGAATCGATCTGTGCTCTGCAAATAAAAGGTTAATACATTTGCCATTAATTGTTGTTTGCTTGTTTATAATATCCATAATTAATTTAAACCTGATTTCCTTACATGCCAGAGGTCACCTACTTTGATTGTAGTTACCTTGCTAACCCACTAAAGAACAGTTGTGTTCTGAACTTTGAGCCCATGAAAAGTCACAAAACTTGACGTCTGTGTCAAGTGTTTAAGCCCGTTTTCCATTAGGTAATCACTTATTTAATTTTATTATAATATTTTTTTCATTATAAATATTTGATGGAATTTTTTTTTTTCACTTGTTACATACAATAGGTTTACATGCCACCCTAAAAAACTGATACACAACTGCCAGCCATATACAAAGGCAGACTCAAACATTAAAAAAAGATGAATATACAGTATAAAGAAGAAAATACAAACATCATCGACCTTCACCTTGACCCTTCACCAACAAAGAAACACTCAGTGAACACTGTAAACTCAACTCTTCTCAGGACCCTAGAAATCCAAAGCCACATCCATAACGTTCCTAGGCTGTAGATGTTGCACTCAACAAAAACTAGATATAATCAAAAAGTCAGACAGCCAGCTATACCAAAGAAAAAAAGGCAAAAGCCCGAAAATGCAATAAAAGAACAACTCCAGGGAGAGCAGCACAATCATATGTACCTACACACATCATGCCTTCCATAACAAACATACCATAATACATATTGTGAATCCCCAGGTTGCAAAATCTCTCAGTAGAATTTCGGCCTACTCGTCTCAGATAGAAGGAATAACAGGGTTCCAAACAGAGAAGAAGGCTTTCATATTTCCTTGGAAGACATATGCGAGCCTTTGCAATGGGAGGAATTGTAGGACATTGCAAAGCCAATTTGAAACGGCTGCTTTTGCGTCTTCTATCCGATGCTGTAACATTGACAGACGTGCACAGCACCATAGAAGACCGAGGGTTCTCTTGGATCTCTTTAATACATGTGAGGCCGCATCCAGGCTGAGGCACTGTAGAGGATTGAGCTCAGTAGGACTGAGTGTAACATCTGCCTCCGCTCTTATTGTGTTTTCCGTCTGTGTTTTCCCATCTTATTTTGCATCTACTGTTCGTCTCTATTCACGTAACTTGTTTTTATTTGCCTTTATTTGCTCCTCACCGTTGATTGCCGGTCCCCACTCTGATGTTACTCACGTGTGTCTAGTTGTCTTCACCTCCCCAGTGTATATAGATTCACCCGTGTTCACTGGTTCCCTGCCAGATTGTTGTAGCTCCATGTCGACTCACTTTCCAGCGTTCCCTTGGTTTGTCTTCCTGTGTACCTTGACCTATTGCCTGTACCTACGACCACGACCACCTGCCTGTTGGGCCTGTACCGTTGCCTGCATTATTCTGGGAGCAATAAACCGATTACCCTTATCCCTGTTTCCTGAGTCGTGTATTTGGGTCCGCCATTGTAGCCTGACACTGAGGTAATGAATACTTCTTTACACTCTTTTGCAGTGTTTCTGTTACAATAATCTGATGAACAGGGTGAATAAATGAATGGTGGTGGTCAATTACATTTAATAAGTAGTCAGCAGCAGGCTGAAGCTGAAGCCTCTCTATCACAAAAGAGCTCCTATGTGTGTGTGTGAAGGAACATAAAAGAAGAAATGATGGAACTCAGGAGATGGAGATGAGTAAACAGTGATTTCACAGTAGCAGCGGAGCATCAGCAACATTGTGCTTCGTGTCATGCCTCGGCTTCCTCAGACACCACACTCCTCGCTGTTTCAAATATTAGTGATGTACACGCACACACATAGTGCAGAGATGGAAAGGCATTAGAAATGCATAACAAAGCTTTGTGTGCAATTCGGTGTTATGCAAGTTGTGAAGAGTAGCGAGGATGCATCAGGCTCATAAGTCAGGAGAGGCAAAAGCACAGGGAGAGGGAAATCTAAACAGAGATCCGGGAAAGTGCAGCCGGAACACGGAATTTTACCTCATGTTGAAAATAAACAGTTCTGCTGCAGAAATGGAATGACACTTCGGACCAGATTGTATGGTTTCCCTGGACTTGTAGCATTGCAGTCAGCAATGATTTAGTTTTAGCACGTCTAAGGACATGTCTGGATTGAAATTGCACAACATTCTTTAGATTCAGGGTTTTTTTGTAGCAGGATATTGTAGTAGGAACTTGTTTGGACAATAGTCCTCTTGGCTCTTAGTTCTTAAAGAAAAACACATTATTATTTGACAAGTCACATCTCAAATGGGGGATTACGGTCAGCCCCTCTTCTTTCACTCAGGAGATGAAACAAATAACACAGGGTTCAATGTGTTATGTATTCATTGTTTGAATACAAAATTACTACATGTGCTACATTCTCTCACCTGAGCATTTATATTATATAGTAAAGTATACTCTTTATAGTGTAATTACATTTTATTATGACAGATATATAGTTTGCACTGTTGGTATCCATCATTCCCTCTCCCGAATAATGAGGATCAGATCAGGTGTTGTGAATTGTTACTTTGTACCCCGGGGCCATTCTCTAGACTGCCATGCTACATGCTAACATGACCCAGTGGAGTGAACACATCCATTACCACAATACATTGTGCCAGCTCTGCTAGTATACAAGCCGTTGTGTTATTCAAAGCTCATTTTTACACACAGATGTCACAACGAACTGAACAGAGAGGCGGCGGCGAGCACAACGCCGAGCAGGAAAGGGGTGGTGTGGCTGCGCTGAAGGGAAACGCTCCATTAGCGAATAGTCCATAATTGATCAAAGTCCGTGCTGTGGCGCTGTTTTTTTTTTAAATTCGCGTTGTCGCGCTGCGATGGTTGCAGGGAGAAATGACGGCTTGTAAATAATAATGAGGATTAGGCCTGATCAAAAGGAGTGGAGAGAAAACAGGCCTCAACTGAGCGACTCCAGCAGTGATTCCAGGCATAGGAGATGAGAATCAGGACAAGAACGAGTACCGAGGAACGCGAAAGAGCAACAGACCTACTTATCTCTGTAAGGCCTGGTGTACATCTTCACATTTACACATATGTATTTACACATATGTATACATACATACATGTAAATGTATTTACACATATGTATACATACATACATGTAAATGTATTTACACATATGTATACATACATACATGTAAATGTATTTACACATATGTATACATAAATACATGTAAATGTATTTACACACACAAACACACACACACACAGCTTAAACATAAAACTACACACATGTGATCATCTTGGAGGTGGAATATGTTGAACTAGCAAGTATTCCTGCTGTCCTCGTGCAGTTATTTGACGGCTGAGTTTGAAGTGCCAACAATCTCCTGACATTTAGCCAGGACGTTTTCTGAACCACTGTCTTTAGGGACACAGTGGTGATCCTCTGCAGACTGTGTGCACAAAGGGTAAATGTTGAGAGGGTAGTATCCTAGCAGCTAGCTTAGCCTACCAGTGCTTTAAGTGGACACCATCAGTCCTAAAGTGGTCCGTTTGCCACTCACCCCCCTTCTGTTTGACACGTGGAGGAATTCCTCTGCACAGTTTTCCGCTGTATGTCGCACCTGTTTGTTTTACCTCCAATGCAAAAAGCTCTCTCTATCTTCAGGTACCGTCTCAGACTCTGAGCTAACTGACTGCAGCACGTGGCGGGTCAACGCACACCGGAAGTAAACAAAGTTTACCGCGTTAAATGCGCAAATATTTTAGCGCATTGATATCGGCCACATCAATTGGTTCGTCACACCGATGACAACTTTTTCTGGTACCAACTAGCGAGGTCGCAGCAATAATCCACTAGACTAACGCTAGCATGCCTATATTAGCGTAGCAGTTCAAAGCAAGTTTGGTAAAGTGTAGCAGCGTTAATCCTGATGAAGAGCTTTTCTTTTCTTCCTCCCCCCGGCTTTCTTCTTAAAGTATTTAGCTAACTGATGTTTTAAATGGAAATGGCTGCCTCACTCCATGTGTTCCATCTAGGGAAGCACTTACCTGGCTTAAACTATTTATGGTAAGAGCGGGCATCATTAATATTTGGTATACATGTTGCACACACACACAATCTCAAAGTCCTGGTAGAGGGCTCGGCTTCCCCGCGGTGTGAGCGGACACCACCTTCTCCGGCAGACAGCCCATTAGGCTGATTACTGGCAGAGGAAAACACTTGCATGCTGGGTAACAGGCATATCCCGAATACAGATTAGAACTTGTTTACAAACCCAAACACTCACACAGCAGTGTGCGTTTCTACGTGTGTGGGTGTGTTTCTGTGTTTTAATTGTAAGAGTACGAAGAGTAAGATTTGGCCCTGTCTATGACTGTTGCCCCTCGTGATGCAGTGAAGAGGGAGTTCCCCTTCGTGGCTTTACACATTTGAAGAGTCTTGGCTGGTTTTAACCTAAATGCAAATTATGTGCCATAGTGTGACGGGGCACTTAAAAAAAAAACAATTTGGAAATGGTGCTCTGCACTGCACTGGCTAGTTTGCCATGAGAGCGGGATTAATGAGAGCGCCTTGCTGCACTGGACCATGAGCAGCACCACCCTGCAGTCGTAGGAAGGAAGGAAAGAGGGAAAAAGGTGGGGAAGAAGATAGGAAAAAAAAAAACGCTGAGGGGAGCGGTGGAAAGGGGGAGAGGAGAGAGCGGCCACCTACCAGCATTTAAATGCATCAAAGTAATGTGATC